CAAATCACTTTTAACAGTATTTCGTGGTGAGCCGATGAGTTTGTCAGCTCAAATATGGTTGTAGGAATGATGGTCTGCTCTTTTAATGTCTGTCAAATGGCGGATAAAAGTTTGGCATATTTTTTCGTTTCGAGTAAGTTGCCTTTCGAGACTGCCAGTAAATCAGTCGTGTGAGATGTATTTATGCTATTTCGTTTAAGGCGATGCAGGACTGGTGATTGAGTCTTCCCACAATCTGAATTTCACATATCCTGACTTCCCAAAAGGTATTCCTTTCCAGGATGGACTGTAGTTTCGACCTCGTCTAGATTCCATCAACACTCCCAGCGGGACTCGAACCATGACAGTGCAGCGTATCCCACCAGAGCATGTGATATGGCAAAAGGCCTGGCCTTCCTTGAAATTCACATTGACCCCGTGACCCAAAACTACTCGTGGCATTGCGGCCAAGTGGTTATCATGTCGAGAGTATGCACTGCAGCGCCATGTTTCGAGTTCCGCTGGAGGCATTGATAGGACTTTGGCGAGGTCGAAACTGCAGTCAAGTCCAGTCGGGATGGGAGTACCTTTGGGGGAGGCAAAGCTGTGTGAAATTGAATGGAAATATCAGCTCTACTCATACAGTCGCGGAAGAATTCACTTGTCAGGTCTGCATCAGCTTAAATGAAATGGTGTAAAGATATGAAGACCAAGATGGTGTGGCCTTTAGTGCGGTCGCAGTCTCCTTTCGTTGTACAGAAGTTGTTTGACCTTGTTTTCGCAACTCAGTCATGTTGGTAGGAAGACTTATAGGAACGAACCATGCATTGTATGCATGATAATGCCCAAAGTCGGACCGTGGACGTGGTACATTCCCAAACGTTTCGCCGGCATCGTAGTCGGCATCGTCAGTGACTGTCATGGTTCGAGTCCCGCTGTGAGTGTTGATGGAATCTAGACGAGGTCGAAACTACAGTCCATCCTGGAGCGGAATACCTTTTGGGAAGTAAGGATATGTGAAATTCAGATTGTCGGAAGACTCAATCACCAGTCCTGCATCGCCTTAAACGAAATAGCATATATACATCTCACACGACTAATTTACTAGCAGTCTCGAAAGGCAACTTACTCAAAACGAAAAAATATGCCAAACTTTTATCCGCCATTTGACAGACATTAAAAGAGCAGACCATCATTCCTACAACCATATTTGAGCTGACAAACTCATCGGCTCACCACGAAATACTGTTAAAAGTGATTTGGTCACTTAAATCATATTTTCGTATTTGAGTATAGTTTCGAGACTACCAGTTAATCAGTAGTATGAGATATATTCGCACATTTTCGTTTAAGGTGATGAAGGACAGGTAGAAGAAGAATTTTCCCACAATCATATGAGTTGAACAAGCGACTATTATACTTTATTTTTTTCGAATTAAGTATTGTTTTCGTGACTACCAGTAAATCAGTAGTATGAAATATATTCAGACAATATCGTTTAAGGTGATGAAGGAGTTGTAGAAGAAGAATTTTCCGACAATCATATGAGTTGAACAATCGACTACTATACTTTATTTTTTTTGAATTAAGTATTGTTTTCGTGACTACCAGTAAATCAGTAGTATGAAATGTATTAACACAATTTCGTTTGAGGTGATGAAGGACTTGTAGTAGAAGAATTTTCCCATAATCATATGAGTTGAACAATCGACTACTCATTTACTATACTTTATTTTTTTCGAATTAAGTATTGTTTTCGTGACTACGAGTAAATGAGTAGTATAAAATGTATTCACACAATTTCGTTTAAGCTGATGAAGGATTGGTAGTAGAATTTTCCTACAATGATATGAATAGAGTTGACATTTCCATTGAATTTCACATTGGCTTGCTTTCCCAAAAGTTGTTCTCATCCCGGCTGGGGCGGACGGCAGTTTCGACCTCGCATCGGTCTTATCAACACCCTCAGAGGGAGTCGAATTGCGACAGTGCAGGATGGGAGCTTGACGCCATTTGTCGAACATTATAAGAGCAGACCATCATTCCTACAACCATTTTTGAGCTGGTAAACCCATCGGCTCACCACAAAATACTGTCTCTGAGGCTGTCCACCGGACCCTAAATGACATTAAAAGCGATTTGGTTACTTAAATCATAGCCTGAAGTTGTTCTGGCCACGTCTGCAACACGACGGTCTTGACCGGAATCGAGGGAAAATGCTTCAGTAAAGCCAACTGATCGCTGATGAAGACGATTCGTCTGTCGTCTTCTGACGGGATCGACTTGCCAATCGCTTCATCACTCACTTTCACTCGAAATTGCCATGAGCTGAACAACTGTCAGCCAAGAGATTCTTTACAGCCCCCAACTTACATTCGCATGTCATGTCAACTTAGTTTTTGTGTTACCAAGCCTATATTTTTTGCCGAGTACGACTATCATTTTGTTGTCTTTCATGCAGCTTTTGGCTTGCCTGCCCCGATTACGGCTCAACCTAATTGGCCGATTCATTTTCTTGTTTTTCATCCCAACCAGCCGAGGTATTGAAGGAGAAAGTCGAAGCTGGTGCCTTGAGCGAAAGAAGCGCTTCTTCCCGGCCGACTAGTGCGACGGTGAGCAAACAACTTTCTCGAATTGCTTTCTCGGTTTACTGAACACTATACTACACATACACACACACATACACATACACAGATTCATAGCTTCTCGTCTGGTTTCGTTATCTGTTTTTACTATCTGGCATCTTCCACATTTCGCAACTTGGTCCAGTTTCCAGGGCTACATTGAAGCACTCTCCCTCTCCATACTTTGTCTTGTGCTCTCTTGTAATGTCTTTTCTTGCAGCATTACAACGCATCCTCGCCCCATTTATCGGCGTCTGCAATCGGCCCAGCCGGTTCCAGCATCGGACTACATCTTTTCGACGTCACTCGCGTCGACCATTTGACGATTATGACCTTCGTCGTTTGCAATGCTCCTACTTCTTCGCCATCTTTTAGTCCTCATCCACACAATTCATATTGCCAAGTCACAGCTCTACTCAATCCACAGTCCCATTTTATAAATCATAGTTACCTTTATTGCAGGTCTCGAACTTTGTACGGCACTTTTCTTGGCAATTCGCTTACCGCTTTTGCTCGATTTTAGCCACATCATCATTCGTGGTAAGGTATTCACCCAATTTCGTGTAAAGTGGTGAAGGACTGGTAGAAGAACAATTTTCCCACAATCATATGAGTTAAGCTGACGTTTCCATTCAATTTCACATAGCCTTGCTTTCGCAAAAGTTGTTCTCATTCCGACTGGAGTGGACTACAGTTTCAACCTCGAATCAACACCCTCAGCGGGAAAGTAAGGTTATGTGAAATTGAATGGAAACGTCAGCTCAACTCATATCATTGTGGGAAAATTCTACTAC